CGTGAGACAGCGAGTCAAAATCGGGTGTGGTGATCGATCGATCCTTGGCGGGAGAGAGCCAAATCAAAACAGATTGCTGATTGATCGATTGAAGTTCGATTGTATTGACTTCGAATAGGCGTGCTTTCGAATTCTGTGTCGAATTTCGAATTGTTCTTACACGCGTATAGAATGGAAGTTCACAGAACTGAATTTGGTTTTCCAGAGTGTATTACTAACAGTAGTAATACTAACATGAGGAACGAGGCCATAGATGACTGCATGGAGGAGCAGCAACAGGCACAAATGGTGAGTACAGATAGTTGTACATTTCCGTTCACTTCAATTACTTCGGAATTGGAGTATGAATGTGTTGAGTTGAGAAAAATCCCTGGTATTGTGGATGAAGAAATGAGAGACCATAGGGTTTCGGCTCGCTATAAGGCGAAGCATCTAGAAGTTGTGAGAAGGGAAATAGAGACGGTGTGTGAGAAATTGGAAAAGTTAGCAAGTCCTGCTCTACATCAAGAGTAGTTCACCGAAAAATTTGTGATTTTTTTGACATGAGAGGGATCGAGTCTGAGGAAGACTGGGATCAGTATGTCGACACCATAGAAAGGGATGGTGAGATCTTGGCATCAATATGTGATGTATTGAAGACTGATACATTGCAGGTGGTGGAGGTCACCAAAGAATTAAAGGCGAAGTCGGACACCCTGAAGGGCCCCAATGAGGATCACGGAAATGATAGGCCTGGTGAGCATTGTGATATCACTAGGGAAGTGACATGTAGTCAGAGGAATAAACCGATGTTGCAGGCACCATCGATGCCATGGACTGGAGTGCCCTGCGAGCACAAATGGAGACACTGTGCGGAGACCTGCTCGGCGGAGCTAAGAGAGACACCAGGTCAGGCTTCTATCATTGATATGGTGAATTGTTTCCAATCACTGTCTTGTGCCGACCCTGGGGTCTATAAAGGAAAGGAGAATGAAAACTTTAAAGAATTCATTCGTAGGTTCCGGAGAAAATACCAGAGAGGTGGTGATGAGCGATCAAACGCTCGTTGAGATTCTTAGGTGACGACCACTTGGGAGGTAAAGCCAAGTCAGTGTTTCTGTCGTTACCGGTAGAAGTTAGAAGAGAGAGGGTTTGAGGCGGTAGTGCAGGAGTTAGGAAAATTGTTGGCCGAAGATAGCGTGGCTGGTAGGATGCGCGCTATTGCGGAACTGCGCGAGTTGAGGATTCGTCCCACATCAAGACGTGGCCGATTTCTGTGTAGCGCTTGAGAAGTTGGGGAGGAAGGCTAACCCACATGCTACAATTGAAGATAGTTCATTGGAGTTTGCGCATATACTCTTATCCAACCTAAAGGATTGGCCAGAGCACGTTCAACTGCTGAGCGCGCTCCACAGAACAAAACCAGAGAAGGCCTACGAAGAGGTGAAGCAGCTTGCACTCTCCATTGAACTGTCCAAACGGATGTACACAGGAAGGCAAGAAGGAAAAACGAGGCGGATTCCGTGACTGGAAGGCGAGGGCAACCTCATACAGTAGTAACCACATGCAGTGGAGTGGGGTAGGCCCGCAACGGAAGGAAACGATGGAAAGAGGAAAAGGAGGCAATGAGGAAGCGGCGAAAGGAAATCACCTTGGGGCTGGCGTAGCAGGTAGGACCAGCGAACGAAGGTCATCTCCCTAATGGATGAAGGTTGCTGGAAAAGAGCAATGATAACAAGAAGTGTTTTAAGTGTTCAAGGTTTGGGCACATCGCAAAAGAATGTACTCAAAGGACACATGTGAACCGGATCAATGAAACTCAAGTGAAGAAGGGAAAACCCGGAAGAGGACGGGATTTCGTCTATCATACAGAAAGCAAGGAGTATGGGAGTTAGGATAGCTGAAAGCCCGAAAACATCGACGCCCTTGATTGGGAGAAAAATCTCAGGGTGGGCGAGCATGCTGGAGACTCGCGTACCGGCTCTTTTGGATACGGGGTCGATGATTAGCATCATCCCTATTGGAGTGTTGGCTCGTGCAAAGGACAGAGGTTTTGATGTTGATAAGCTCAAGCTTATAAAGGAACGGCAACAGTATACCAGTGTATGACGCATCTAATAACAAAATGGAGTTTCTGGGTGCCGTCGAGATTGAAGTTGAGTTGGAAGGTGGCCGCAGTAGTGATGTAGCATTTTACATTGCGGATAGTCGTGACGATGAGATACTGCTAGGAACTAACTCGCTGAGTGATCTGGGCGTGAATTGAGGATTTCGCAATCAGAGTCAGATACCCGCAAGGGAAAAAGTGTGGAACCCAAGTCAGTGACGGTAGCGAAGAGGATATATATCCCACCGCACGGGGCTAGGGTAGTGTCAGCACACTGTAATGTTGGAGAGCAGACGGCAGAGGGTGTCGTTTGGCCAACTAAAGAAGGACTTGGTTGTGGAATTTTCAAGGTCATGAACCAAAAGTTGGAGGTACCCGTAGTAAATTCTAGCGATAAGCCAATGGTCCTTGGAAAAGGAGAGGAAATTGGTCAGTGGGGTACAGAGAAGTGGAAAGAAAAGTGGGAAGAGTTCAACCCGTGTATCATAGAAGATACGGTAAAGGCTAGGACTAAAGAGCAAAGGCGAGCCTTACTGGTGGAGCAGACTAGGCGAAGTTCAAATGTGAGTGAGGTGAGCGACGACATCATGGCGCTAGCCGAGTCCCACGAGCGAATTCAGGAGTATAATAGGCGTGTAAGGAATCAAATGAAGGTAGAGTATGACAGGAGGCATAAAGTAAATGTGGAAAAGCACGCGAAGGTAGGAGATCGGGTGTATCTGCTTGTCCCAAAGAAAAGGCGGCGAATTCGCACCCAAAATTAACTCCAGAATGGACAGGGCCTTTTAGAGTGCTAGAAAGTAGTGAAAATTCTGCTTTGATTAGTAGAATAGGTGAGAACGAAGACCCGATCAGAGTACAGTTTGACATGTTGAGAGTGGTTCCAAATTGTATATCTGACGAACCCATCGACACAAGAACAGCGAGAGGTAAACGAGGGAGAAAACCAGCAAAAGTTAAAGTATGTTGTACTAAAGTGCCGTATTTCAGTGGCGCCACGATAATGAGCCCGTTGGAAAAGGGCCACTTGCTGTTTTTGTGCGGAAACGGATGTTTCGAAGGATCCACCATGAAGGAAACCAGATTTTCGTTACGGCGAGTACTAAAATTATGGAAGGACGATTATTCATTGAAGCAGGGGCGCCTGAAGCGAGTGGACAGTTTTTCACCAATCATGTGGGCGCTGGAGTACCGAAGCAGGCCTATGAAGCTGCAAGGAAAAAAGCTGTGAGCGCCATGTTGCCAATCTTACCCGATGCTAGGAATCTGACATCGAGGACGATGTCAACGCCGGGGGAGGGCGTGTGGGTCAAACGAGGGTTGCCAGTCAAACGCCGGTGCGGGCGCGAAACCCCCTGTTGACGATCTGGCGGGACCTGGCGGGAAGAGCCCAGGAGGGGGTTCGGAGACGTTTACTTTTCAGATATTCTTGGACCTCGTGGCCCGTGCGCCCGACCCTCATCCACCTCCCTGCAATCTCTTCTATTGCCGTATTTTTGTACTGTGATTTGATTTCGCTCTTGTTCGTGTTTGATCCGTTGTGTTTATTTTTAATAAATCTGTTACTAACACTACTGACTAGTGACGTGGAACGGGTCCACTACCCGCCATACTTTGAACCAGACGGGGCAGTCAAACCCCACATTCCTTTTTTGCATTATGCTTTTTCCGCCACTTCAAGGGTTCTATGGGTCCACACCTCGAGGTTACGGGAACCTGCGCACAGGGGCACGAATAGGTATACACACCAAAAAATAATCTCAAGTTTACGCTCATTTACACCTTTCCATAATGGGTCCATACTTAGCCAGTCTACCATCGCACACCAAGTTTGACCATGGGGACGCTTTGAATAGAAATAGTGATGGCCATTCATCTAAAATAAGAGTGATGCAACGTGGTGACAACCTTTTCAAAAATATCCAGCGCAGGCTCAGCAATCCTATCCAAGCCCAAACGATGACCGCTTATAAAAGCTTTCGCTGTATTACCTAGGAGTTATGGCTGGCCGCCTCTCACTATTTTCTGCAATACGCAAAGTCTCTGCAAAACAAAAAATTAGCTCATGGTTACGTGCCTCATTTCGCTTTCCAAAAAGATGTCGAGAGAGAGCAATTCGCTTACAATTCCAACTTTTGATATTC